CGCGCCGATGTCGTCGAGGCCGAGGCGTTCGACTTCCCGCTCTGGCAGGTCTGCGCGACCGCGTGCGGGGTGGGGCCGGCCGAGGTGGCGTCCCTCGACGGGCACACCAGGCTGCGCGCCGCCGCCGCGGCTGGCAGGACCGGCGTCGGCGTGGCCAACCCCACGGCCGTGGCCGTCACCCACGTGTTCCACAACAAGCATGAGTTCCCCTTCTGGCCGTGGCCACAACCGACGCTGCCGATTCCATGGAGGAGCTCACCCCGGCCTTCTCCTCGTTTTCCTCCATGGTCGGGTCTCCTGGTGGAGGTGCCGATGTTGCCGGTTCCACAATGCAAGAGCCCGTGGCAACGCGGCAAACTGAAGTTGTTCGCCGGCGTCGCACAGGGCGTCTTTGGCGTCGCAGGAAACCCTACCTTGGGGTTGGCACAGGGCATCTCTGGCGTCGTAGGAAACCCCACCGCGGGGCTGGTGCAGGGAGTGGCCGACCATCCCACCCTGCTGAAGCCGCAGGGCGTCTCTGCCAAGTCCATGGTTGGCGAGTCCAACATAGAAGTTAATTTTTCTCCATGAAGTTGATATGATGCGAAGCTGCTGCCAGATTGAAGGTTAATTGAGTTCTCATCTCCAAAATGTTTGCATTCTAAGTATCCTCTTTGATTCAGCGGTTCCATGATGCTACAGTTCACTTGTTTTTCACCTCTTGATGCTGCTATACACAGAAGGTGTTTGCTAATTTGCACATTAAAATTTTCTGATAAACTATGCCAATATCACATGCATATGCATTTTTTAGTGATGTTTGATTATTAATCCATGCTACAATAAATAGCTCTGCTGCCTTGCTTTTCATAATTTAAATTTGTATTTATTTTCTTATATTCAAACAAATGTTTGTAGAGAACAGTGTTCGGCGACTTAGATAGCTTTAGTGAGTTGATGGTTTGACTTGCTAGGTATGCCTGCAAGGAGGACACTGTAATTTGGTCCAACAAGTACACACAACAATCTTCTGATTGTTCAACATTCTTTATTGCGTGAATTTCTGACATATCAGGATGCAGGTACATGACACTATTGTGTTGTCTGCAGAGGTTCTCATTCTGAAAGAAACTGCAACTATGTAAGAGCTTATTACGCAGATTATGAAATTTGCAGTTCAAGTTCTGGACATCAGATTGATACTTTACCAAAGGTGCACCAATCGGCCCTCCGTCTCCTAGGGTGATGGCACAATGACATCGACAGCGGCAGCAATTGCGCACAGGTGATGATGGATTTGTCAACTGACTTCATATCTCTATCTCTACTACCTACAAAACCTGTAACATTCCATTCCCGTCTCCCGTCTTATTTCGTTTTGTCCAACCGCACACATTTCTCTGGTCGTATGCTAGATTGCAAGAACTAAAACATTTCCTACTACGTTTTTAATGATGCAGTACGGTTAAAAACTTTCTATTTACTTGGGTCTGCTACCTCAGATTGATGCGCCATGCTCAGGCAATAATAGTCCAAGCTTCATCGTGTAATAAGCTCCACCTGCGTGCACAGGTAAGTGGTTCTGGTACTGCTTCTGTTTTTGTTTGTTATATTTGCTGCCAGTCTGATTGCTACTATCTACTGTACGTGCTTATTGTTTGGCTTTGAAGAGATATTTGCTCGATGTTATGCCAATTAATTTCAAACAGATGGTAAACTGTGATTTGCTCCTCAATTTGTATTGTATCTGAGATCTCATTTGTGCGTACAATATTAGCTTCTTCATGGCAATTTCAATGTTACATGTACCATAAGCCAATCAATATCTGCACCGTATTGGTCTGATGCTTTCTTACCCTCTCATCCTTAATTAATAGGCATTTTCCAATATTGGTCTGATGCTTTGCAAACTCACTTGTATTCTCCATGTTATTTACACGATATCTTGAAGGTTCATGGTCCGAATATAAATAAGATTCGGTTCTTCTCTTAGAAACTTAGCCTTCTGCTTATATTTGCATTTGCTATTGATGATGTAATTTGAGCAAATACCCCATATCCTTTTTACCAAGTTTGGATAAAAGCATATATAAGTCTGATTTTAACAATATTCTGTGATCGACTATGTGTTTGCCCAAAATTTATTAGATGACATGGAATGCTTGATTAATGATATCATTTTTTTTTATTTCTTTGTGGTTCCTGGTGTGAAGCAACAGATTTGAATAAAAATATTTATTTATTTAGAAACATTTTTAAGTTTATCTGTACATATTGATATTAGCTTGAATTTTGAACAAGAAATAGTTTCTTAATACGTACTTTTGAATTTTATGCACTTGTATGTACACTGCTACTAACGGTGCTCTTGATCATGTCATACACGAGTACTAATGGTGCATGCCTTAATATTGGAATGGAATGAATACCAGCTTATGTAGAGAAGCAAGGCCTTTTCGTATTTGAGGAAGAATGTCATGCAACCATTCAAGAAGAATAGGATGGGTATTCCAGTAATCCTATGGATTAGTCTCTATAGTTGTTGGCAGCCTATAAAGCAGAGGTATCTATGACTAAATAAATAAAAATTGATGACTTACTATTTTACAATATTAGTTTCGACTATAGTGTTGCTGACTAAATCATGCTACCTCTCATTATTGCGGCGTCTCGCTAGCAGGGTATTCCCATTTAGATTATGTTTGCCCTTTTGATCACCGGCACGGCTGTAGCCGTCCATGTAGGCGTCGGCGGCAGTAGGGGGGAGGGGACATCGGAGCCGTCGGTGATATTGGAGGAATCAATCTAGCCGACCATCCTTTGAATGACACAGTTTTGCTACCTCCCACTGATAACCTTTAGGAGCTATGGAGAGGAGGGTTAGGAGGGTGGCGAGCCAGCGGCGTGAAGAGAAAATGTTAGGGTCACAATAGCAAACGAGTTCATCTTGCCTGGGTTGCGCTGATAAGAAAGAAGATAGAGCTTCAGGTGAGGCATATCGTCCCTAGGAATTTGTTGGTATCGAGGATTGTTCCAGGAAGCACTTCTGATGACAACATGATGTTGGGCCTCGGGGACATGGTAAGCTACTTATGTCACAATTTTCATCCATTCAGACTTGTTTTTGTGATTCTTGTACTACCACTGATCCATATATGATCTCTTGTACTCATCATTTAATCCTGCTTAAATTATAGTATTAAAGGTGGTTGTACTTTAAAAGGTCTCAAACTTGTGCAGGTAACCAACAGAAACTTATTGAAGCACATTGTTGTCATCATCCACTTAGTGCCCGCCGGGTCACGCTCAGCAGCAACGGTGCACGGCGATGGGAAAGACGCAGGGGTGGCGGGATCATCACCAGTGGGGCCGTCGGGGAGAAGATGGAGGCAGATAAGAAAGGAACGGGCTCGGTTGGGTGTGAAAAGGAGAATGAGAGAGATAGCGATGATGTGGTGCTGCACCACTGCTCTCCTACTGCTAGCTGAATTTTGGTATTGTTGCTGCTATCTGAATTTCGCACACACACGGCGAGGTGTGCTGGCC